TATTTATAAATATATGTTGGTAGGGTCAAAGTCATGGATCAATTGGAAGAATGGGTCGAGGTATTTTTGAAATAGAAAAAATAATGAGATTTTGATAACTAAATTATCAAAAAATAATTTCATGATGTTTTTTTTGGAGAGTAGGAATGCGTGATCGTAGTAGATTCGTAACAGAGATGAAAGCATCTGGTCCATTTGCATACGGTCCTCATGCTAGTTCTGTGCCAAGTAATTATTTATCTATCTGTATATCTGTCTATCTATTTTTTTATATAAATATGATCAAGATTTAATTTTAGTGCATTCTTTATATATAATATTAAAAGTGATGACAGGATCAAATAAATAAGGTGTATAAGTAAAATAAATGATTTTATACAAGGATCAAAAATAATCCAATTCAAATAAATAAAAAATAAAAACTAACGGTTGAGGCCTTCGATGTGCTTCCGGTACAGTAGGAACAAATCTCATTTTCTGTGTTCCACGAAGTGTCACCCTTGAAGAGGTTGGTAGAAAGTAATGACCTGTTGGAATGGTTCTAACAGATGCTAATCTGCCAGGAGCAGGTAATTCTGGCTGTAATGAGCCAAGTCTCCTAGCGGTGCTATTATTACTAGAAGCTGAGCTTAAAGAAGGGCTAGGCGATGCAGTTCTACTTGGCAATTTATCTTTAGGATCCATTATAATAATGAAAAAATAAATTATCGATGAACAAAAAATTGAAGGTTTGAAAGATGTCGTCGAAATACTTTCTGCAGATACTTTCTAAATTTTGACTAGTTACACGATACAATTTTTTTGGAAATAACCTATATATTTTAGAAAGATATTTAAGACACGCCATCCTTGATGTATTGAAGATTATTTTTATTAATCTTCCATTTAGAGAAAATACATTGATGAAAGAGTTCGTCTGATCGCAATACTTTTATTCCCATTGATGAACTATTTTGTTTTTTTTTATATAGTGCGCAGAAATTAGGATAAAGAATATTTAAAAAGTCTTATTTAGTTCGCACTTAATTTGTGATAACAAAAAAAATGTCTTCCATTTTTCTTGGATTAAAACACATCTTCCTTCATGAATTTGACCGTTTTACATTAAAGCTGTCCCAATAATAATACATATAGAGAAGTGAGATTTAATAAATATGGCGTGTTCAATTTACGAGGACTTGTACGTGGGACGTTATCTTTATGAAAATAATCTGGAGTATGCATGTTATCATTACTGTCATTATTTATTATATTAACATCATATTTATTTAGAACATGCTGTGTTGGAAATTACCTCTTCATTATGCATTTGCACTAACCGGTGACGTTGAAAACATGTTTGCTGAAGGACAGGTACATGTTGCAAGGAGTCAATCTCCTTCTTACACATTTTAGGTTTTGACTATTCTCATGCACATTGAGAGCACCGGGAGATGAATCTTGAAGCAAACTTTGGAACAAATATTACAATAGCCTTACTGACAATCCTATCAGGGAAATCATGTGAACAAAACAACAATTGAAAGTATACGTGAATATTCTGACTTTATACAATCTTTATTGAATCTATCAGAATATTTTGTTGCTTTACAATTATTGCATTCTCTTTGTTTGTCCAACTTATAGACTACATTACCTAATTCGCAAACCTTTCTTTATAATTTTTACATAATCATTTATTTTTTTTCTATTTTTTTCTATTAGAATTAACCAGAACATTATTTCATTTTCAAATAATATTATGTGAATTGTTAATTTGACTTGATTAACTTATTGTGTAAAGAATCAATTGTTTTGGCAAAAACAATTGTTTATTCATTTGCATTGCCTCTGTCTTTCAATCAAGGCTCCGAACGAATCGAATCGAATCGAGTCAAATTTTAAAGTGATTCGATTCGAATAAAATCGGATTCCTAATTTTTTTTTATGTCATATTCAACAAATATATGAGACACATAAGGGATTCGAAAATTCGTTATTACCAATCACGTTTCAACAAATTTTATATGTTGAAGCAAAAATTTTTAAAAATCTCGTAACGCGAATTTAATGTTGAAACGGGGTTTACTATACTGTTAATATTAATAATATTAATATTAACGATAACAAATGAAAAGTAATATAATTTACACTTGCAATAATAATAAATATAACAATGATGAATGATGTCTCTTCAATAACTTCTTCAACAGGTACAGTGCAATGGGCCCAAAGAAGAACAAGAAGTGAATTGTGAAATCATTCACAGTTGTAGATAGAAAAGTTAAATGCAATTATTGCACTAGGTAAATTTTTTTTTTTTTTTTGACTATCGATACTATTTATTTCCAAAGGCAACTCTTTTAAATTACGCAGAATTCATATGGTGTACATATATTTGAATTGGATTCAAACCAGAGCATTATCATATTTGATTTGAATGAAACAAATCAAAAAATTAGGTGATTTGAATTTCATTGATTCATTCAGAGCCTTACTTTCAACACTAATTGCAGAGAATTGAATTCATCATCCTGAATTTTAGATATTACAAATAACATACTTTTTCTAGTGTTAATAATTCACATTTTTAAATAGTTTATTTAATATTAATGCAAAATTCCTTTTATCAATTTTATCCATAAGTGCACCCTCTATAAATGCACACCCTCATACTCTGCACTGCACAGTTTTTTTTCAGTCCGCTCATATGAAAACTCTCTCCATAAATGCATCTCACGTGACCAATTTATAAAATTCATCGTGTAACTATATAGGATAATCGCCAGCATAAATTTTTGATTTGATTGGATAATTTCCAAATATATAATACAATGAAAGAAAATAGTTTACATATTTTTATAACAAAGGTCAAAATTTTTTGTTATATTACAATCTTTGTAATTTATAATGAAATTATATATTTTTATTTATTGCTTTATATTTTTACAATGAAATTATTTGTTAATTATTATCATAGCTTTGTAATTATACAACGGAAATATTTGTCCATAATTTTTATTACAGCAAGAGAACAAGTAAAATTGGTTAATAAAATCGAAAGACATATCAGTGCAAAAAAAGTAAATTCATTCGAAACAAACTACAATGGATAGTTATTTTAATATTAATTAAGTTTTTAAATATTATAAATAATAAATATAAAAAATTTTTTTTTTAAAAATATTGTGCATAACGTGCAACCAATGAAATTGCTTCTCTCTATTAGTAACAGCCATTTTTGATTCTCAAGAATTGACGGTGTGGCGCAAAAAGTTGTGGCTTGCACCATACCGTGTAACATATACTAACCGTCAATCAAAATTCGAAAACTTAGTCATGTGAGTAAAATATCACGTGAAACTAAGGTTGTAATTAGTGTGTACCTTGCCGAAACTACCAATTGCCAAAAACCCCACATGAGAGACTCTAATAAACAATTAGTTTATAACCTGTCGAAACTCTGCCAATTGATTTTGGAGGAGTTTTGGCAAACAACCATACATGAAACTGACTTGATTATTTAACATGGTATGGAATCAAAGATTTCACTATGCCCTTCATGAATTATATGATGGACAATCTGTGAGTGTTACCAAGCATTCTAATATAAAAAAAAAAGAATCAAGAAATAATTAATTCGTTTAAAACAATAATTTTTTTATTCGTGTTTTAGTAATTTAACCACTGGAGTGGTTTCACGACATAATGTTCACTTTGTCTGATTTTTGTTACTATACAATCAATCACTCTTGTATAATTTAGCCAAACATAAAAAATATAATTAATAATTAATAATATATATATAATTTCATTTTAATTTATATTATAATTACATCCTCCATAATTATTATATGAGGTAAATATATATATGGTAATGTTAAATGATAATGAATATGTATTTTTTTAAAAAATAAAGTCAATGATTATGCAAATGCCCAAAAAAATAAATGCGAATATAACCTAATAACCTAAATAACATTATATTCTAAAACCCACCCATGCAATCTATATATCTATATTTAACAATTAATCATTAATATTATTTTTAGGTACAAGTTGCAAATTGTGCCTTCTTCAATGAGCAAGTATCATTTTTATCTTTTAATGTCAATAAATAGTATACAATTATAGCTAAAATGATTGCCCAGATCCAAATCTGTAATTTCCATAAGTTGTTCATTTCAATAATAGTAATAGTAGTAACAGTAGATGTTATGATTCGTCGATTAGTTGGTTGATCAGTTGATTGATTTGATTGTTGTTAGTTAGGTGAAAGTGGTTATCGAAGTAAAGGATCAAAGGTGGTTTATCATGCAAAATAAATATATAGAAGACAAATAGTTAGTGAAATATTACAAAGAAAGAAAAGAATAAAAAAAGGATTTTTGATGAATAAATTTGTATATATGATTGATTGCATTATTATTAATGAAAGTAATGATTTGAAAATGCCCTTATTTGATTCGAACTACTAATTTCTAAATTCCCAATATCAAGATTCTTTATAATAATGATGTAAAAGAATGAATGCATTTATTCTTTCATATATTTAATTCTATGAAGCTGAAAATATCTATCAAGGTTTTGCTCATTATTATTATATTATTATTACTATTTTTACTGCTACTCACTCTTTTAGTATAAGACATTCCTTTCAGCGCCAATAGGTTGTGGGATTTCGCTGGGAAATAGAACTTGATGTTCTTCTCATAAACATTGGAACCACCAAAGGCTTTACGGATCGCTGGGATGACTCGTCCTCTTCGTTCATAGCCGCTTGATTCTGTTTCATCAGGTCGGATAAAAGATTGGACTTTTGGAATGTGTCTTTGTTCCAGGTTAGCGTGTTCTGTTGTGGCAGAATGAATTGGAGAGTGACATCATTGTTATCTATAATTGTCATATACAATAACAATAATAACAACAACACAATTGTCAAAAAAAAAAAAAGTGAAGGGGAAATAATATAAAATAATAATATTCTATCTTTCTTTTTATCTCTTGATTCTTTTTTTCAGTGAAAGAATTTTGAAGCTGTATGGTAATATCTACAGAAGGAGAAAATAATAATCTATTTTTTTTCTGACAAGCATAAATAATGATATATACATACCAACAAGGAATCTTTTATATTAAAAAAAAAAGTAAAAATAAAAGTAATCAATTAATAATTAAAGTTCGCAATAGTAATAACAATAAAAGTAATTAATAAAAATAGTAATTGAACTAATTGCTGCTACAGCAATTGTTGCCAATTTCTCTCTTCCTTTTTTATTTTTTATGCGTATGTGTATCTATATCACCTACTTTGACAATTCAGCCCATCCTCCGCCAACTCTAACCATTACCATTCTACTTTTTAAAATACGACAATGACAAAGTTTAGGCTCAGCCTCTCCAAACATATATTTTCCAGATTCTCTCTCTACGACGGAAACTTTTATTTTCACTGGGGATGCATTAACTATCCTTGCCACCTCAACATCTAATTGGACTTTTGGATCAGGTAAATAATTATTGACTATATGTGGCGATAATCTTGTTGCTGGTTTTTTTGGTGATCCTAGCAATCCTGATGTTGGACTTGGTGTTAATCTATTGGATTGACGATGTCTTGGTCCTGGCGATAATCCTGGTGATACCGCACCACGTTTCCTAGCTTTAAAATCCAATAAAAAGTGTCATTATTATTAATCATCATTAGAAAACAATTATGACAAAAAAAAAATTTTTTACGTGATGGAGGTCTTGCAGATAATGATCTTTTTCTAGTTGGTGAAAAGTTTCTGTGCGGTGATAATGTTTGAGAATTGGATCTTGTACGCCTTTCAGTTTTAATATTTTGTTCTTCAGATGGTAATTTTTTCAATTCATCTTGTTTGGCATTTGTCACTTCAGTCAATTCTGCCCATTGTTCCTTCAAAATACTCAATCGATCAATTACTCGCCAATCATCTTTAACCGATTCTGATACTTGTTTTACATCTTCAAGTTTCTGATCTATTTTAGGTTGGTAATGTGAATATTGCTTTTCCAACTCAATCGACCTTGCATCCAATTCTATTTTATTCAATGATGATAATGGTGATCCATCCATTGTTGTTGTGGCTAAATCAACAATTTCAAGCAGTGAGCTCATCAATGTATTCATTTCATCTGCCTTAGTACCGAAAATTGCCAATTTCTCAGCTTCATGTAGTTGTGATCGTTTGTTATCCATTATTCCTGCCAAATTTGTCAATATTTCTGCTATACCTGAACGTTGTTGAACGAAACTGGTTTCATGCTCTGGTAAATTGTTGATATTTTCATCTAATGCTTCAATTCTTGGTCCAAGTATATGATCAACTTCAGCTTGTATTTCATCAAGTTCTCTTAGGTTGTTTTCAACATCATCTTTTGTTGGTAATTTTGGTACTCCCTCATCAATAAAGAATGATTCAATGTTCAAAACTCGTTCTTTCACTTGATCAATTGATGCTAAGATATCTTTGATGGCTTTTGAAACTTCTTGTACTTCTTTAGATGCATTCAAGCTTGATCTTAAACTTTTCAATAAATCTGTTAACGAATCCCAATCTTCTAACACTTTATTTGTTCTGGCTTCTACAGCATATTTAATTTTAGGTTCAATTTCAACATTATTATTGCTAGTGGCATTAGTATCATTAACGATGATTGGCAAAATAACACGTTGACTCATATCTTTATAAGCATCAATAGTAGGTTGAAAAGTCATTGCATTTTCTTCTAATTCTTTGATTTCTGCTTCTTGATCCATATCACCAACTTGAATGTTTAATGCAGCCACCTTACAAGCTGAAATCCATTTCTTAATATCTTCTGATGCTTCAGTTTGTGGATAAATTTTCTTGGCTGTTTCAATTTCACATCTCTCAGCTGAAATACTATTTGAAAAGTTTTCCAATGCTCGCGTAGCTTTATTTAATATGCTCTGTACACGATCCTTATTTGCTTCAGGATCCATTTTGATTAACTTATCAGCCTCAGCTTTCAAGTTAACATTTATTTGTGCTTCATATTTCTTCAGTGTTCCCTCAATATCTGAAACTCCAATCATGGCATTATTAATCAGATCGTTCAATTCACTGGCTTTCAATGAATAATATTCACTATCATTGAACTCATTATGTCTCGATTCAACTTTTGAGGCATCTTCCAAACATGCATTAATAATTTTATCAACATCTGCATCAAATGTTGTCAATAATGAAGCATTATTGGCTTTTTCTATTGCTTTTTGAAACAGATTTGATAATTCAGTAAGCTGAGTAGTGATATCAAAAAGATGCTTATTAAAATTTTGACGATTTGTATTATCTAAAATATCATTTTCAACATCAACTATCTGGCCAGCACCAAATTTGGCTGCTTCGAGCATTTTTTTAGCATTTTGTAATTTGTCATCCAACCCTTTAGCTTCAAATTCTAAATTGTCATAATGTGTACTAGGTAATTTATTGATACAATTCTCAAGTCCGTCAAAAATATCATTCTCTACGTGATATATAATATCATGTTGGTCATGCCATTTTCCAACTTTATTGATGAAATCTTTGAATTCATTTGATTTTAAATCCAAATTTTCCCACAATTTATTCAATTCTGTTTGTGCCTTGACTACATCCTGCAATTCACGTATGTCTTCTTGTGATGTGATATTATTAAATTCTTCTATTATACTATTGAACTGTTCAAATTTCTCTGGCAATTTTTTTTGGAAATTATCAAATACTATAGACAAGTTTTCAAGATTTTCTTTATTTGTTTGCTCAGATGTCTCCACCATTATACCATGTTGTGACTGACCATTGATAAAATCCTCAAATTGTCTTTCAATCCAACTTTGTAAATCATTAACTCTAGCCAAATATTCCCCAGTGATTTGTGCTGATATGTGTGCATCAACTTCATCAATCTTATTGTTCATCAATTTCTTTAGATTATTGATCTTATCTGCAACATTCCTTAATAGATCCTCAAGAACAACTGACTCTTTCTTGGTAATTGCTCCAAGATTTGTTGAAAGACTCTCTTTGACATTATCATGTAGCTTAATCAATGAGAATAGTTCCGTTTGCTCTAAACCATTCAATTCAATTTGCCAATCTTTGATGTCATCCTTGCTCACCTCATCCACCAATGATGATGATATTATATCAGATAAGTTGTCAACTTTGGAGAAGTTTTCTTTGATCCTCTCTTTGAAATCAACTACTTGTAATGCCTGATCTAATTGTTGTTTGGTTTTTGGTATAGTATCTTGTAATTCTTGCCATAAAGCATCAATTTCCACTTCTTTAGAATTTAATGCTTCAATACCAAGATCAATATCTCCATCACTATTGTTGTTGTTGTTAGCAGCAATCTCTTTGTTCATTTGGTTTACTAAATCATTTGCTAAATTCTTAACTTGCTCATAAAAATCAGTATATGCCTTTTGTTCTGATTCAACAAAATTGACTTCTTCTAATAAATCATGTAGTTTGTCTTCACTAAGTTCGCCCAAAGTATCATCTTTCAATATATCATCAAGAACTTTTAAATGTGGATTCACCCAATCAATAATGCCTTTGGCCTGTTTCAAAAAGTCATTGATTGCGTCATGTTGTTCCAAAACATTTTTACCCTGATTTACTCTATCCATCAAATAATCAAATTTCTTTTCAAAATCTGATTGACGATCTGATAAATGCTTTGGACATTCCTTTGATAGTAAGTCTTTGATTGCTGAAACCATATCTTCATTTGATGATTTCAATGGTTCCAATACATTTTCTTGAAAATCTTTTACTTTTCCTGCCAAGGTTTCAAACTCTTGTTTCAGATCTAATTTTGTTTCCTCTGGAATTGGTTTATTTACGTTCAAACTTGCCCCTTCTTCATCCGAGCTTATATTCTTTTCAGTTGAAGTTGGTTTATCATCTTTGCCAGTATTTTCTTCCAAGCTGTGAGATTTTTGTTTTGAATCTAATTTTGGTTCTTTTGCTGTTTTATCATCAATAGTTGAAATAGTAGTCGAATCATTAGTTACTTTATTTTCATTTGAAGCAACTTTACCTAGATTATCAACTTTACCATCATCATTGGTTAAAATATCAACAGGTGTAGTGCTATTATTGTCATGATCATCAGGTTTCCATCTGGCTTTTTCTGCAATGAATTTGTTAACTTCATTAATTAAATCATTCAAAGATTGCATTCCAGGAGCAATTTTATCTTCCCAACTAGCACATGGCTGTAATACTGATAGGTCTAATTGTCTTTCTGATGTTTTTAATTGTAGTTCAGCAAACTTTTCATTCAACTTTTTAAAAGCATCATGTAAATGTATCTGATCAACAGGATCATCATTATTTGATGACTTGATGTCCTCGACCAATTTCTCAATACCTTCTTTAATTTGATTAATATCCTCCAAATCAATTCTATTATTTTCAGCTAAAAATTCTTCATGTTCTTTCAACAATTCTTTCACTTGTTCCTCATTATGTAAACATTCAGTTTCCAATGGATCAATCTTACGTTCCTCAAGCATTGCCAATCTTTTGTTGACCAAATCTTCTAAATTAGAAATATCATTAAACAAGTCATCTGATTTTTGTTGTAATTCCTTCTCGAGTAGTCTAAAAGCATCTTGATAATCTTTCATTGCTTTGTTAACTTTAAACTTCAAGTCTTCCATTTTACGATGATAAGCATCAACACCTTCCTTGACCAAATGATTTTCATTTTGATCATGATCTGAGTGATCTGGGTAGATAACTTTTTCACCAATATTACTCCAAGCTTGTTCAATATTTTTATTAAATTCCTCAACTCTTTCTATGAATTTCTTTTCTATGAGACCACCTCTTGGATTTCTTTCTTCTTCTATTAATTCATTTTTTAATTTCAAGCCATCAATATAAGTAGTTTCACTGACTTGAGCATACTCTAAAACTTCTTGACGTTGCTGCAAAACATTTCTACAAAATTCAAAATATAATTTTAAAAATACCAGATCACTTTCTTCAAGGTTTTCTTGTCGTATAAGTAGATGTTCAGGCACTTCCACTAATGAGGTCTCCACTAATTCATCAAATATTTGCCCAGTTTCAGGTATGTTGACACTTTCAAAACTTATTACATACTGATTTATTGATTCTAATTCAATTAACACATCTTTCTGGTTTGGTTGATTAGCATTAATGAACCATCCATCATCATCTCTTATACCAATTGGTTGTTTCCATCTACCTCTGTTTATAATAAAATCTTTAATGCTGTTTATCAATATATTCCATGTATTTAAAGCTTTAGCAAATTCACGTTCCCAATCTACTCTAAGTGCCAACACAGATAAATCATTTGATCTTTGTTTCGATAATCCCAATAAAATATCAAGTTGCTTAATTGTTTGTAAAGTAATTGCAATTGTCATTGTATCAGCAGGCGACATTGCTTCATTAATCTGAGAATTAATGTTACTATTTCTGTTACTACTACCATTACTGCTGCTAGTATTGGTGCTAGGATTGGAGGAGGTGTTAGCACACATCATGGATTTGACATGAGCTCTTAATCTAGTCATATCTTCAGCATCAAATTTCTCAACTTCTAATTCCAATTTATCATAATCATCTTGCCATTCATCAACCTGTTCTTGAGTAGCAGGTACTTTACCTTCTTGAAGAGCGTCAAACTTTGGAAAATTTTCTAATACCACAATGTGCTTATCTATCCATACACGCATACGTTCAGCCTCTTTGAACCAAATTTTTACTTCTTTAATCCAAGCTTCTACCAAATTAAACTGATTTAGTTGTTCATCAAATCTTTCACGGTACCTTTCATCTCCAACATCAGGAGCTATCAAATGTTGATAAGCTGATTCAAGATTATTTAACATTTCCAAGGCATCAGCCATATGAGCATCTAATTCTTGTATTGAAGCATCAGTCTTGGTATCTTGACGCCTCATCTTACCCTTTATGATGTCAAGTTGATCTCTGATTGCATTAGCACTTTTTGCAAATTTTCTGCCTTCTCTAATCGTTTGTAGATTATTTTGGCGCAAAATCATCAAATCTTTAATATCAGCAAATGTTTTCTCTGCCTTATTAATTCTACCAATCACCTCTTCACCACGTAATCGTTTAGCAGGTTCAGACTTCAACCAGAATTCTACCCATAAACTTCTCTCAAACAGAATCAATTCAGATTCTATCTTGTTATAACGTTCACTCCACTCTTCAACATGATCATCATTACATGTCAAACCATGAACTTGTTCAGGCTCCACCTCTTCTATTCCTTCTTCATTATTTTTATCATTTGTACAATCATGATCTGTATCATTGTCAATACCACTATTATTTGTGTTACAGTCCAACATGTATGTTGGAGGAGAAGATAATCTTGTATAGAAATTTTCTAATTTTTGTTCAATTATGTTAGCTAATTTATCAAATTCAGAATTGGCAGAAGTAGGTGATGAGGGTGATGAAGGTGACAAGTAGGCAGCCATTTGTAATTTGTTTTCAGCCAAAGCAATCTTAATATTTTGTATAGTTAATAATAACTTCTTATGTTTATTTTTTAAAGCCTTTACTAAACCAGGTGAAGTAGTATTGGTTTTTTTAGTTGTGGTGGTGGTGGTATTCATAGTTGGTGTGTTATTGTTATTATTATCATTGGAATTTTCTGATGATTCTGTTTTATGAGGTAATTGTTTTTCAAAATTTTTTATTTTTTCTTCAACATTTATAACATCATCTTTTACCATGTTAGCATCATTATGTTCAATGATTGATTTACGAATTTGAGTTATTTCATTACGTAAATTTTGTAAATTTTCCAAAATATCAATTATCATTAAAAAGCTTTCAACATTAGTTTGCAATAATATATTATCAATGAATTTTTTTAATTTTGTTAATTTTTCCTTTAGACTTTTTAATTGCTTTTCCATCAATTCTATTACTAATAAATCTTCTTGAGAATTTTGAATGATGATTGAGGAGTTGTTTGATGATACTGATGAGGTGGTGGTGGTAGTGGCACTGGTAGCAATAGGGGAGGCTGGATCGGGAGAGTTGGAGGAGGGTTGATGATTTAGCATTATTGAATGGAGGTCATTTGATTTACGTTCCAAATCTTTTAAACGTTCATTTTCAAATTGTAAAATATCTTGTTTTATTCCATAAATTATTCGGCGACGATCTTGGATCATATTTTCAATATTTTGTTTTTCATCAGTCCAATCATATTTATTTATTAGATCAGGTACTTCGAATTGTTTTACTCGTCTAAAAGTATCAGATATCCATTTGTCTGATTCATTTGAACCATCAAACCATCTTCCTATATGTCTATCTTGAGACAATGTTTGGCGAATATAATAGATTTTATCACTTAATAAAGGGATGACATGATTTACTATTTCTGTTACGTGATTAACCAAATCTATTGGAGCTCTGAATTTCTCATGTTGATAGAAGTTTATTAGTTCTTTAACTTGCTCATATACTTCATGCTTTAATAATTCATCGGCAGCAACTACTTTTGTGTACCATTCATCTAACAGGGAAGAAGAGAATACAATACTGGTGACAGTTATTCCTTCATCAGCGATCATGGAAGATGATGATGATGCAGAAGATGCCAATGAAGTTTTACTTGCTACATTAGTTATTACAGGAGTGTTGTGTAATGACGTGGCGGTAGGGTTAGTGCTAGAAGTATCATTACCGTTGTTATTGTTATTGTTGAAATTTGCTGTACTTGAATTAGGTGAAGATGTTAATAAACCACTATTATTATTTCGTGTTGCAAAAGTTGTCGATTCATCGTGAGTTTTTTTCCTTGATTCTTCAACACCTTCTAACATTACTTCAACCTTTTGAATTTCAATACTAATTCCTTGTATTTTCTGTAATAAATTAGAAGTCCAATTTAATTCCTGCAATTTTGATTTTGATAATTTTAGTAAACTTTTAAAACTTTCCCATAATAAGTTTAAAGATTTTAAAATATCATGATCTTTATTATTATTATTATTAGTTAATCTATTAAATTCATCGGTTTGTTTAATTATCAATTCATTTTCTAATTTTGATAATGATTCATCTAAAGGATTTATTAAATCTAGATCAATAATAAATTCATTGATATCAACAACTGGTTTTAATAATTCATGATTAATCAAAATTTTATTAAATCGAGAATTCATCCAATTAATCAAATCTTCGATTGATGAGATGAATTCTTTCTGCATTCCAGTTTCTTTTTCTTTTACAGTTGAAACTTCTTCAGTTATTTTCTTATAATTCAATTGAAATAAATTTTGTTTTTCTTTCATTTCCTGGTCAATTGTTGTCACCTCTTCTAATGGTAATAATAATACTCCTGTTGGATGAAGGTTCTTATATTCTTCATTATATTCTTCAAGATCGTCTATGGTTTCCACTGCCTCCGAATTAATGACACTACTCAAAACATTTTGTTCTTCTTCTTGTTCAATTAAACGTACATTTTCCATGTTTCTTAATTTCTAAAAGAGTAGAATCGTTAATTTTGGTTATGTTAAATAAGTTATAGTGGTTGAGATTATCGTTTGGTTTGTTTTTAAATGGTAGTTTGGTTGATGGTAGTTTGGTTGATGGTAGTTTGTGAATATGGGTATTAATGTGTGATTTGTTGTGATTGTGGTGGTGTTGTTGTTGGTGGTGGTGTTGGTGTTGGTTCTGGTGGTGGTGTTGGTGTTGGTGTTGGTGTTGGTGTTGGTGTTGGTGTTGGTGTTGGTGTTGGTGTTGGTTATTAATTATATATGTGGGATTTTTTATTTTTTTTTTAAAAAAGAAAATTCTAAATAACAAAAATATATATATATATAAAAAGAAAGATAAAATAAATATAAATTCTATAGTGTTTATTTTTATTTTATTAAATAAATTTTGTATATATTTGACAAGAAGAAGAAAAATCAATAAAAACACCAATTTTTTTATCTATTGTTATTTTTGGTGTTTATTATTGTAAGTTTTAAAGCAAAAATAAAATGAAGGAAGAGAATATTTAATCTTTTTTTATATAATTTTATAAAATGGTTATTTGGATAATTAATGAATGGTAATTTGGTCTAGTACATTTTATTTTGTTATTTAATTTTATGCAATAGGTAACCCAATTCATTTACCTGAAACTTATGAATTTGATGTTGCACATTGGTTTGGGTTATTATAAATAACAAACAAACTCATTATAGATATTTATTCGGTCAGATTTTCGGAGTTTTGAATGGTTTAAACAGGTAAACCCTTATTATTATTGATTACCAAAATGAATAATCAATTCAATAATTCAATTATCAAATTTGGCTAAAAAATTAATAATATATTTTTTTTTTTTTTGAATAAAAATTTATCCCTCAAAACCTTAATTTTTTTTAGAAAATTTTTTATAAATATATATATAATAAATTATTTTTTCTTTTTCCATAAAAATTACTTCTTTTATACCATAAACTTAGACTTTTCACAACCATGGAAGAAGCACTTACTAAACCAAGGAATGTTACCCATACTTTATATAAATTATACAACTGGTTGCAAATGGGAATAATTGACCTTAATCCTGAATTCCAAAGAGGTAAAGAGCCTTTTATACCATTATTAATATATGTATAAATGTATATATATTATAGTTTACTAAACAATATATATAATAAATTAAAAAAATTTTTTCCTTATTATTAATTTCTTACACCCACATAGATGTTGTATGGACATGTAACTATTATTTAATTAATACAATATTATCTATTAATATCAGTTATAATTTCTAATAAATAAAATTATTTTTTGGTAGCAATTAAACAATCTCATCTAGTAGATTCTGTTCTTAACAATTTTTATGTTCCACCAGTAATTTTTTCTTGTAAAAAATTAGATAACAAAAGATGGATCAGAGTATGCATAGATGGGAAGCAGAGGTTAACTGCCATCAAAAAGTAAGTAATGATTATTTGGTGAATCAATTATTAGTTAATTATCAATCTTTGACAACTTGCTATATTCACTAAAATTACACATATATCCTTTCATTTCATATATATACTCACAAACAATAGATTTATGGATGGTGAAATTCCCCATGTAAGCCCTTCTGATGGCAATGTAGCTAAAAGGTACTATAAAATTGTCAATGGCAAAAAGTCATTGACAGAACCAGAAAGAGAGCTATTTGACTGTTCCGAGTTGCTTTGTGGTAAGAGTATTTTACAATTATATGATTATATAATTATAATTATTTCATATATGTCTTAAATCATTACCATCTAACATTGTTTTCATTGTGCTAATTTTGTAGTTGAGTATTATGACCTTTCATTACAGCAAGAGCAAGAAATTTTTAGCCGTGTCCAATTGGGTGTTGCATTAACACCAGCTGAAAAATTACAAGCAATCAGTAGTCCAATGGCTGATTTTGCTCACTCCATTTTCAGCAAATATCCTAGTATTTCACTTATAATGGATACTAAACGTGCTAGACCATTCCAATTGATAACACAATCATTACATATGATTGAAAATGAACCTGAAAAATTCAATGCAACTCCTGCTGTCATAACTAAATTCTTAAAGGAAGAACGTCAAGTACCCTCAAATTTAAAAATCATTGCAGAGAGAATTTATCAAACACTTGAAGCAATGATAGCTGATAATTCTGATATATTTCATAAAGATAATCGATTGGCTCCTGTGGAATTTGTGTTCCTAACTTATATGATTGCAAAATATCCTGGTCTACTAATCTCCCATTATCAAAGTCGTCTATTAGCCATGAAAAAACATGTTCGTCAGAAACATGACGACATTCGATTCAATAATAAAGTTTATGACACATTAAAAAGATTTGTTGATGGTATGGAATCTGAATACATAGTCACTTCATCTACATCTACTTCATCTAAATCATTAGCATCAAATGGTGTGTTATACAAAACTGAATCAACCAATTATGGTGGACAACAATCATCTTCATCTAGGCCAAAAAAAAGAAGTAAAGTTACAAATAATTAATCAATTCATTCATTGCTTTCATTAAATCAATGATGATTAAGTCAAAAAAAGAAATTAATTTATACATGTACACAATTCTTATCTTAGTTTATGATCACCTTACATTTCCTTTTATTTATTTTTTTTTGCTATTAAAATAGTAATAATCTTTAATAATTAATTGGTGGTAATATTATAATTTATATCACAACAAAAAAATTTTAAACATTTTTTTTTGCTTATAAATATTGTATATATTAGAGGCTATCAATAAAAATCTGTAATATCAACTTTGAACTTACAAATATCATCCACCATTAGTTAATTAACAACAATAACAAGCATTCGTTAAATATATATATTAAATTTTATATGGGAGGTAGAATGGATAATTTTAAGTTGAAAAATATATGATGAAAAAATAGTGAGATGCTGGAAAATATCAAAAAGAATAAAAAATAGTAATTGTGAATTTATATAAAACAATCCATTTATAAGATAGTTTGGTGAAGATTCATATGATTTTGTTTATAAGTTATTTTTTTTTTCTTAAACTGATTTATTAACAGTTTAATAAATATTTGATTGGTGATAAATGTAATATTTTTGTTGTAAAAAAATACATGTGAAATATATGAGCATATTAGCCATGACAGATAACTAACTTGGGTGGATCAGATTGAATAAGAGCTGCCAATGAATGGTTTTAGTTATTATTTGATTGGTTTATCAAGTTGAAATTTGTTCTCAAGCCTTATTAAGAATAGTTTTATTATTTAAAGAGTTAATTGTTATTTTGAATTCATGATTATGCTATCTCAATGATGAAATTCAGGCACATATTAATAAGTACTAGGTGCTTTTTGAAAAACCGAACCAATTTCAGAACTGGACACTGTTACCAAATTTCTTGATATCAAGCTCCCTGATACACACAAGATCATGGCACTTATTATCAATCACACTAGGAGAAGATGAAGCAATGTGAAAATTGTTTGAAGGATAATCACTGGAAAATGTAAGATAAGCTAGGATCTTGCCGGAAAGGAAAACATACTCAACTGCATATTCAATGTGCAATATTGATAATGCTCATGCTTCCCAAACAAGCTCAAGTTTCCAATAAATTTCTCTGTGCCAAGCGTAACTGGGCCAAGTTGGGGCAAACTGAGAGGAGGTATGTTAAGGAACAAACAAGAAAAAAAGTATTTTTTCATACTTTTTACTTGTTATCAATTGCTTTCACATTACTATATATATCTGCCATAAAATTATTTTTTTTAGTGGAAGGATGAAATGCCAACTATTTCTCTGTAACGGATGTAATCTCCATCTCCATCACATCTCTCATCTAAATACATGCGCCTTGTTGAAGGTCTGAGATCTTGAAAACCATCCATCTGTTAATGTTAATTGAATCCACATGGAAATGGGTTAAACAGTGGCAAAAATGCATAATAGAATATGAGACATTGTCCTGTGTGAATATAGATAGACCTTCTCGAACTTGTTTGTATTGTTTTCAACAAGTATGGTTAGTTTGTTCTTGGTGTATCATTGAAGAAAAGAATAAGACCACCAATATACACAGGAAGTAGAATGTGTCAACCCCGCATGTATTTTCTTCAATTGTGGTGGTTACACAATCAAACACAGAGATACAAATGCTTCTGTCTTGCAATTGATGGTGCCTCTAATATCCTCTCCATCAAAACAAATCCCGTGTACTGAAAAAATTCCACTCTTACTTACACTTCCAATATACAAGATACAATAGAAGTTTCCTCCAGTCAGAAGGATTTAACTAGTTAATGAATATATTAATTACCTGTTATGTGTGTATAATTTTCAATATCGTTCCAATAATTCTCCATGCCATTTGATTTAAATGTTTTTAAAGAAGTTGAAATAAATCCATTACTACTACTTTTTTATTTATCATTGTGGCTTTCTTCAATATTTAAATTTAACAACTTTAGCATTAGAGACACACTAAACTTGTTTAATTATCGAATAGTGTGTAACAAACAATTATCCTCTAGATGGGAGATTTTTGGTTTAGGACCGGTTAACGTATCCAAATTTTTGAATATTTTTATTAATCTTAAAAATAAAAATTATAAAAATTGCATTATTTAAAGAACAACTTCGACATCTTTGTCATCAAACTCTAATAATTCACTAAAAACAAATCAACTGCGTTTAGGTTTTTTTCTAGTTTTGTTGTAAGAAATATTAATATCTAGAATCTGGAGGTATTGAATTTACTGATGACGAAACAATTGGCCATGTAAGACCAACAACACCTGAGATTGGATCAGGAAACGAAGACTCAAAATCTTGTTTTTTGAATACAATCAAAAATCAAATAGGTAGACATGAAATTAACTAGAAAAAGATTGCTTATATATTTTATTTTATAGATCAGACAATAAAACATTCAGTTTTTACCATATCTAATATGTAAGAGTAATAGAGAATTTTTCCGATAAAAGAAATTTTATTATTAGCAAGACCTTCAACATTCCTCCCAATTGGTGAAATTTATCAATTCAAAAAGAAATTCATTGATTAATTTTATAAAATTTATATATATATATTATTTAGATTAATAAAATTGGCAAAGATCAAAGAGGGCAACTTTTAATGATCCAAATTTAGATTCTTTGTCTTCTAATGATTTTCTGGCTGAAACGTCTCAAGCTGGTCCAGCTTGCAGGACTAGCAGTATGATCCATTTGATATTGATTTAAATAAATTTGAAATTTCTTCGATCAAGAAACTTCAACAACCTAACATGTTAGTTCGGCGTGATTCTATCTCATTGGCAAATCAATATCCTATCCTTATATATCTCGCCATGAACTCAATTGCCATACCCACAGCCGCTGCCACCACACAATCTATCACCATTATTAATCCATCTTCCAACTCTTCAACTACTATTACTGTTACCCACATTATCTTCTATATTTCCTGCGCCTTCAATAGTCATGGTAGCTACTCTAGGAAATTCAATCAGTAATGTTAATTAAAGTAACAATCGCACTAGATTTATTACTCCCTTTTGGATCCACTGAATTTCTTTTTTTTTCTAGCTACATTAAAAAAGGTAATGGTAGCAATAGTAGCAGCAGCAACAACAACAACAACAACAACAATAATGATAAAAGAGTATTTTGGCCAATAAAAAAATTTCTTTGACAAATTCACTTCAAGCATTCCCAAATATATTCTACTACTACTGCTGCTGCTAATAATAAAATAATGCAGCAAAATTAGCAGCTGAAGAAGATAAAGAAGAAATACAGCTGCATCTGCCAGATTTCATGTTAAAAAGAAATTACGTGAATAGATACTTGAGAGAACTCAAGAGAAATAGCATCAAGGTTAGAACTTTTTGAAGGAAAAATCAAGAAACTTGAATTAGAAAATAAAATACCAAGAAGTTTAATTGTTGAAAAAGATGCTAGATTAAACCTGTTGATAAAAAACAAAAGTTAGATGATGTAGTTGTACCATCATAATTGTGATAAAAATAAAATAGAGTAAAAGATATAATAGTAACAAGATTAAAAAAGATGACAAATCTTTTAAAAAATCAAGAAAATAAAAAACATTGAAAAAAAGATTTTATACTTTTCTTTTATATTTCTTTCTATGTAAGACAAATTGTATGCAAACAAAATTTAATATATTACAGAAATTACAGAAACAACATTTATTATAAACCAAAGGTTTAAGTAAATAAAAAAATTTGGTCAATAATAGATAATTAATTAATTCATAAATATTTATTTGCAAATATGACTTTTATAATTAACAATTTTTTTGTTTAATAATAGTATAATTGTATTCTAATATACAATCATTTCATTATACATGTTTAATTAAAAAAACCTTCAACTTCTTTTCTCAGGAGCTTTCTATTATTTTTTATTTGAAATAATGAAAAAACAATTTTTTTTTAATAAATAAATCTGAAATCATTCATTTTTTAATCTTCAAAAAGAAAAAAAAGACTATTTACTTACAGCCAACATATCACTGAATTCTTGATAAGGAGATTGTTTGAAATCAACATCCTTCCATAAATCAGGTGTCAAATAGGCATATGTCTGACCAATTGCAGCAAAGGTAGCCTTAACAAAATTACCCAAAGTTCGAGTAGATCCACGTGATGTAGTATAACAATCAGTGATGCCAGCAAGTTGTAAAAGTTTTTTGGGTGTAGGTGCTGCAACAATCCCAGTGCCTCTAGGAGCAGGCACAAGACGACACAGTACGGAACCACATTTACCAGTAACTTTGGATGGTACAGTGTGTGGTTCACCAATCAATGAACCCCAGTAACCACGTCTAACAGGAATAATTGAAAGTTTGGCGAGGGTAATTGCACCACGGATAGCTGTTGCTACTTCTTTAGAACATTTAACGCCCAATCCAACATGTCCATTGGAATCACCAATTACAACGAATGCCTAAAAATTATTTAATTTGATGATTAGTTAATTATAAACAAATATTATCATTAATATACACATATATATGTATATGAAATTTATTGGAAAAATATTATCATTTTTCAAAATGTAATAAAATAATAATAACTTTGAATCTAGTCCTTTGACCTGCACGTGTTTGTTTTTGAACAGGCATGATCTTCATAACTTCATCTTTTAATGAGGTTCCAAAAAAATGATCTATTATTTGATATTCTTTGACTGGCAGTGAAAATAAATAAATCTCTTCAATGCTTTTGATCTTGTTTTCTTTTACAAGACGTCCAAGTTTGGTTACTGGAACCCTAAAACAACAACAACAATGATGATGATGACAATGATAAATAATCATATTATTATGTAATTATAATTATTAATTAGCTGATTTATCGATTGACCAATCAATTAAATTATACCATTCTTTATCCTCTTCTTTGCGTGCAGGGCGACGTCCACCACGTCCACGACCTCGGCCTCCTCTATCACCACCACGCCCACGACCACGTCCAAAACCACGTCCTGTTAAAATTTTAAAATTTATGGTGCATATACATTTCAAAGTCCTTTTGCAATGATTAACATCAAAAATAATTTGTTTTTTGAAATTTACCACGATCTCCCGAGTCTGCCATTTTTAGAATTATTTAATTGGATATATAAAAGTATAACTGATAGTCACTTATTAATTGATTACTATTAGTAAGTTTTGCAAGTAAATAAATAATACTTTACAAATAGATATTAAAATTGGATTTTAATTGATAAAAAATTTTTTTTTATAGATTTTACATGAACCACAATTTATTGCGATTGGTTAATCAACTAGGGGCCTCGAAATTGGGTTTTTTGGGGGTGGAGTTCTATTCGCAATACAAATTCTTACAGGGGTCTGATTCATTTCGTCGACACCCATTTCGTCGAAAGTTTGTTTCATCGAAAGTTCATTTCGTCGAAAGTTCATTTTGTCACAAAAAACAAACTTCATTAAACAAATTTCTCCTCACACTTCCCACACACTCTGTTTTTCCCACCTAATTTCTTAACTAATTTCTCACATCTAACTCTTTCGGTCTCTGGCTCGAGGATGAATAATTTTCGACGAAATGAACATTCGACGAAACAAACATTCGACGAAACAAACATTCGACGAAACAAACATTCGACGAAATGAACATTCGACGAAATGAACATTCGACGAAATGAACATTCGATGAAACAAACTTTCGACGAAATGGGTGTCGGACGAAATGATTGTCGACGAAATAATTTTCGACAAAGTAAACGCGACTGAATTTGACGACAAAGGATTTTCTTTTGATGTTGGAGTTGTTCTCTAATAATACAATTTTTATTTTTCAATTTTAAGATTTATATTAAAGAAAAGGGCGCGCATATTACCTTAAAATTTATTCAATAATTGTTTGTTACACACTGTTATTCTCAAAAAAAAAAATTTTTTTTCAAGTTAAGTTCTATAAAAAATTTATTTTATAATGTCATATGACAAGTTATTATTATCATTATCACCAGAAAGGAAGGAATTTGTATATAAAATTAATTTAGAAATGTATAATAATGCAATGGTTAATTCTGATGAAGAACATGAAAAAGATTATTTTTTTTCATTAGTCAAAAAAAATAAGGAGCTTTCTGAAAATGAAAAAAAGTTTTGTAAAGAAAAGTTTATTTATGAATTTGAATTAGAAAATGCAATTCATAAAAAAGGCAAACTGAAAGAATGTGACAAGTGTAAATGGACAAGATACTCTGACAGATTCTGTGAAGGTTGCATTAGTTTACAATTACAGAGCCTTTTCACAACTTGGACATCTGGAAATAATGTAATTGATGACTTTATTCAACAATGTCAAATGAAATCAGCTCTACCAAACTTTATTTTAGAATGGATACCTTTTGAGCAATTTTATGATATTAGAAAATTAACTGAAGGTGGATTTAGTTCAATTTATATTGCTATATGGATAAAAGGAGGAATAATTGATTATGATGAAAATAAAAAGGAATTTAGTTATTTGGGAGAGCAAGAAGTAGTATTAAAAAATTTAAATAATTCAAGTAATCCAGGAAAAGGTTTTTTTGATGAGGTTAGTAGTTGTCATTTAAAACAAAATATATAATACTGTATTATATAATACTAATACTTATATTTATTTTCAGGCAATGAATTACTGTAAAATTAAATCAAGCTTGATTGTTTCTTGCTATGGTATAACTAAATTCCCAGATAATGGAAATTATGCAATTGTTTTAAATTATCATCCAGAAGGAAATTTAAGGGATTATTTACAAAAAAATCATTTTAATTTAGCATTAAAAGACAGAATTACAATTTTTCATTATTTGTGTGTGGCATTATATCAGATACATGTAAAAGATTTAATCCATTGTGATTTACATAGTGGTAATATATTATTGCAAGGAGGTGCTTGTTATATTACAGATTTGGGGTTATGTGGACCAGTTGATGAAAAATCATTAAATAAAACCTATGGAATAATATCATACATTGCACCTGAGCTACTTAGAGGCAAAATTAATGCAAAGAACACAAAAGAAACAGATATTTATAGCTTTGGAATGTTAATGTGGGAAATATTTTCAGGTTGCCCACCATTTGATGATAGAGCTCACAATCATCGTTTAATTTTTGATATATGTGAAGGTTTACAACCACCAATATTACCAGGAATGCCTGCTGATTATGCACAAATTATGCAGAAATGTTGGGATGTGGATCCATCAAAAAGACCAACTATTAGAGAGCTTTGTGATTTTTCTGAAAAAATCCTTAATAAGAATAGTAATAATAATAGTAATGATAATACTACTACTAGTAGTAGTGATTTGCAACTAGCACACAAATCACATCCATATGCATATCATACAAGCAGGATATTAGATGATGAAATTGCTAAATCAAAAAGCTTAAAGAGCTATACAAGTAATGACAATTCATTAAATGATCTTGATATCAACTCTTTTCTCTAAATGATGATTTTGATAAGGTGAATAAAAATTTCATTACTAATTAATTGGGAAATTACTATCCATTAATTATTACTAATAAGATCATTTATTATTTACTTATAATAAAGGATCAGTGATGATTTTATTGCATTCATTAATTGCACTTTATATTATATATTTTATTTTATATTAATTTTAAATAAACTATTTAAACATGTGAATCATCACGTGTTGCACACGATCCAAAAGAAAATTTATTCAAAAATAACCAGAATTTATTTATATATATCAATACAAATAAAAAAAAAGTACATCTGGTTAGTTATTAACACGTCTTCTTTAGGAGACTCACGTTTTGTCATCTTTGGACTCTGTCAAAAAATAAATTGTTCTTTCAACAAAAAAAAAACCTTCGCAACGCCAAGTGCCAATAATAATAAATAATTAATGACGCGTTTGTTGATCAAATAAAATTTCTTTTTCTTTCTTTTTTTGAAAATTGCCAAAAGATCAAAAGGCAAATCAAAAAAGAAGAAAAGAGAATCACATACTCGAAAGAAGCGGGTAAGTGTTTATCAAAAGAATAGTGGTGGTTATCGCCACTCACCATCACTCTAGTTTTATTAAATAATTTAATTCGCAAATTTTCGCAGATCACTAATTGAAATTTTCCGGAACCCATACTTCATTCCTAAAAAACTACTATTTATACGAATTTATAAATTGTATTTGCAAATGTAATAAATAGTAAGAAACCCAAAGTTTTAATATACAAATTTTCAAATGGACTTTCTTATAAAATATTTTATCTTTATATGGAGGGACCGCTGGATTCTTGCCTAAAATTGCTATATAAAACTTAAGATTCAAGTATAATATTTAATTATTTATTCAAGAAAAAAAATATAAATAAGCGTTTGTAATTAGTTTTATTCAAAAAAAAAAGAAATATAAATAGATGTTTGGTTACTTTGAAAAGTTTAAATTTTAAATTTTTATGTCGCGCGTAATCATGCTTAATCACGTGAGGGACGGTC